GGGAGGGACAATCAATGGACCAGGCCCTTTGACCCCAGGAATCAAGGCAGGGTCTCTGGGGAGTGAGACGTGCATTCATTGTAACAGAATTGAAGTGGAGACCAAGAAAGCTCACCTTTTGTCGAGGCTGTAAATTGCTTTTCTTTCAGTTCACCGTGAACCCCAGGGACTGGACATGAGCCAGCACTGTCAATGTGTCCTAAACCACCTGTTCTAGGGTCTGACACAACTCCTACCCAACTGGCCCATGAAAGTTGGGAGGGACAATCAATGGACAGCCCTTGACCCCAGGATCAGGCATGGGAGGCTGCAATCCAACAATTTTTGCCATACTTAGTACTCTGGCAATGAGCGTGTTGATGGGAAATTCCCCACTTTGGCAATTCCTCATCTGCCTCCACCATGTCTGAATGGGGATCCCCCAGTAGCTTTCCCCTTCTGGCTGATGCACGCTATCCACTAGAGAGTGAGGAGCGAAAAGAGACAGCACATCAGCATCCCCTGTGGTGTCCTCCAAAGTATAGCACTGAGGCCCGGTGGGGGCATGCCTTCCTGGCCCGGAGGCAGGGATAAAGATGAGGATGAATGGTGAGCCTCAAGTTTGTCCATCCTTTGAGCTAAACTCTGAAGAGCAGTCAGAATTTTCAGTGCATCTGAACTGTCCCCCTCTGCTGGCTGAGCAGGAGCTGGGTGCATAGCAGACTCAGAAACCTCCTCATGGCTTGATCTATGAGGGGAATTGTGACGGCGCCCCCCCCTTGCCAGAGCGCTTACGACTATGCCTGTCTGCACAGTTTTCCCTCTCCCTAGCATGATCAGGCGCAGAGCTGTGAACTCTGGTAGCACAGCAAAGTCACTCCTCTCTAGACAGGTTGCAAGTTGCACTGCAAGGATTATCCACATCTACATCTTCCCTTAGATGAGAAATCCCCAAGCACGAGAGGCATTCCCGATGCCCATCACGAGGATCCATCACTGACTGACAAAATCGGCAGCAATGTGACACCATAATGGCCCTGGCAAAACAGGATGATGCTACAATACAACCCCACTGACTACGAACAGCTGTAAGAAGAAAAAAAATCAAGCCCATACAAAGAGAACGCAAACATACTTAGCAAGCCCAGATTAACCCCACCAACTGTAAATAGTGATAGAGGCACAATACTCACCAATTTATGGAGCGGGAAGTTCTGCTTCCAGGTCATGGGCATGACTTTGTTTACCTATGGTCTCAAAAATAGGCGGTACGAAGGTCATCATTCTATTTAGACTTTAGGGACGGTCAGAGTGAGGTTGTAACAGATCTTTATGCGGCGTCTTAAAACAATTATGTGACAATTTATACTCGATTGTCGCATATTGTCATTTTATACATCCCACATGGAACAAGCCGCGATACATTGGGTATATTCAAGATATCACCTACTCCTAAATGAATCCTCCCACGACTCCTCTACAGCAACAAGAGAAAAAACACCTGTGCATTTCTGTCTCATTTAACATAATATATGGAAAGACTTTGATGCTCCACCATGACACTGAAACAACATAAATTCACTCTTCAAAATGAAAAGTTTAATAATCAATAAAGCTCAGCCTTGATCAGTTCAGTATACTCAGGGTTTACATCTAAACTCTTGGTCTGATTTGACCAGTTGAGTCACTTTACAAATGTTATGACTTGTGCAGCGGTTACACTATGTTTTATCACGAACCATTATCCCATAAATGTTTGATGTTACCACAGTGGCTGCTGTTCAGCTAAACTTACACACTCATTTCAATGTACATTAGCACCTTTAATTTGAGCAGACTGTTTTTGTCTCATATTAATTAAAAAAATTCAGAACAGGACTAGAATTGATTGTTCTGGTTTGTCTCAGCCAGTTGCTCAGTCAATCTGCCTTATTTTATGATTCGTGTTGAACTAAAAAATTAATTAGACTTACATACAGAAAGCTTTCCTTTTAGCTTTTCATAACAATGTACTATAACCTTAACCATCGCAATGTTGTTGTGTAAAGAAACCAGGAGACAGCGAAGAAAATAGATGAATATGTAATTTTTTAGATGCTTGTTAAACAGGTGGTTTGCTGAAGTGCTTTTTACCTTTTATTGAAATTACAGTAAAGTTCAGTAATGTTCAGTTATCTATATTTCACCTGATTCTGTGTCCAGCACAGCCTCTCTGCTCTGCAGTTCACTGTGTGTGTGTATTTGATGTGATAATAGTGATGTGTGAAGATGTGTTTGTGTGTGTGTGTGTGTGTGTGTGTGTGTGTGTGTGTGTGTGTGCGCTGAGTGCAGCCCTGCCTCTTCCAGAGAGAGGAGGACAAAAGAGCAGTGTGAGCATTAATGATGAATAGAAAATAAATATATGGTGGTTAATAGTGACTGGCGGCCACAAATAAATCAAAGTATGGGAAATTATTCTTTGTCTTAAAATACTGATATTGACGCATTTTCAAAGTTGACATGTAATTTTTTCAATGTAAAACTAAGAATAATGAGAATAAATGAAAACTGAATTTGACTAAACTACTAATCTAATTCACTGATCAATAATTTTAATGATCATGTCTGGACTCACCGAGCCTTTCTGCAGTTCCTCACAGCTGGGATCAGTCTCCGTCGTCCCTCCTTTGATGTGTTGAACTTCTCCAGGTCCAACTCATCCAGAACCTCCTCTGACATCTGCATCATGTAGGCCAGAGCTGAGCAGTGGATCTCAGAGAGTCTCTCCTCTGATCTGTTCTCTGAATTCATGAACTCTTGGATCTCCTGATGAACTGAGTGGTCGTTCATCTCCGTCAAACAGTGGAAGATGTTGATGCTTCTGTCAGGAGAGATTTTGTCACTGTTCATATCCTTCAGGTTGTTGATGGCTCTCTGGATGATTTCTGGACTGTTCTCTGTCTGACCGAGCAGACCTCCCAAGAGTCTCTGGTTGGACTTCAGAGAGAGGCCGTGAAGGAAGCGAACAAACAGGTCCAGGTGACCATTTTCACTTTTGAGGGATTTCTCTATGGCTGCCATCAGGAAGACATCCAGAGATGGATGATCATTTCCAAACATTTCAGAAAACTTTAAAAAAGACTTTGGAGTTAAGTCCCTGTATTTGTAGTCTTCTGTCAGGAAGTTCTTCAGGACCCCTGTGTTCGTGTTGGTGTAACTGTTGTAATAATCAGAGTCTTCTCCCAAGAAGTTCTTCAGGACTTCTGTCTTCCTGTTGGTATAACAGTAGAACATGTAGACTGCAGCCAGAAACTCCTGAACGCTCAGATGAACAAAGCAGTAGACTGGTTTCTGGAAGATCACACACTCTCTTTTGAAGAGCTCAGTACAAAGTCCTGAGTACACAGAGGTCTCTGTGACATCAAGACCACACTGCTCCAGGTCTTCTTGGTAGAACATGATGTTTCCTTTCTCCAGCTGTTCAAACGCCAGCCTCCCCAGCTTCAGAAGAACTTCCCTGTCAGCCTCCATCAGCTCCTGTGGACTCGTCTCATGTCCTTTATCATACTTGTGCTTCTTCCTCTTTGTCTGAACCAGCAGGAAGTGTGAGAACAGGTCAGTCAGGGTCTGGGGCAGCTCTCCTGTCTGGTCTGTGGTCAACATGTGCTCCAGAACTGTAGCAGTGATCCAGCAGAAGACTGGGACTTGACACATGATGCGGAGGCTCCTGGACGTCTTGACGTGTGAGATGATTCTGCTGGACAGATCTTCATCACTGGATCTCCTCCTGAAGTACTCCTCTTTCTGAGCGTCAGTGAAGCCTCGTACTTCTGTAACCCTGTCAACACATCTGGGAGGGATCTGATTGGCCGCTGCAGGTCTGGAAGTTATCCAGACGAGAGCTGAGGGAAGCAGATTCCCCCTGATGAGGTTTGTCAGCAGAACATTGACTGATGACTTTTGTGTGACATCAGACACAATCTCCCTGTTGTTGAAATCCAGTGACAGTCTGCTTTCATCCAGGCCGTCAAAGATGAACAGAACTTTACAGACAGCGAGCTGCTCTGCTGTGACCTTCTGTAATGTTGGATGGAAAACATGGAGCAGCCTGAGAAGACTGTACTGCTGATCTCTGATCAGGTTCAGCTCCCTGAACGAGAGCAGAACCAGCAGACTGACATCTTGGTTCTCCAAGCCCTCTGCCCAGTCCAGAGAGAACTTCTGTACTGAGAAGGTTTTTCCAATCCCAGCGACGCCGTTAGTCATAACCACTCTGATGGGTCTCTGTCGGTCATGTAAGGCTTCAGAGATGTCGTGTCTCTGTTGGTCAGGTAAGGCCTTAAAGATGTCGTGGCACCTGATTGGAGCGTCATGGAGGGTCTCCATCTTGGAAGTTGTCTCCAGCTGCCTCACCTCATGTTGGGTATTAACCTCTTCACTCTGTCCCTCTGTGATGTAGAGCTCAGTGTAGATCCTGTTGAGGAGGGTTCCACTTCCTCTTCCATCAGTTCCTTCAGTCACACGCTCACATCTGCTCCTCACACTGATCTTATGTTGATCTAAAACCTCCTGCAGACCACCATCTGCTGAAAGAGAAGAGACAACGTCAGACTGAAGAAAGAGAATCTGAGAATCTGATGAATGAATTTCATCAGCTCCAGAAAAACTAAAGACAACAAAGAAAAGACTTTTTTAATGTTGTGGTATTTATAATCATCTTAAATGTCAATGTTGTGTGACAGAACAAATGACTGTATAAAACAACAGGTCCTGGTCTCAGAAATGATGACATCAGCAGACAGATGATCAGTCTCACTTTGTTCAGTGCTGGTCTGACTGGCTGTCTGCAGTCCAGGTCTCGTTCGGCGTCTTTGTCGACACTGGGGACAGGAGGAGTCTCCTGCAGAACCAGACTGGTCCCAGTACGAGGTGAAGCACGGTCTGCAGAACCAGTGTCCACAGCTGGTAGAGACTGGATCCTTCAGGACCCCCTGACACAGAGCACAGCAGGACAGCTGCTCCTCCATGGACACACCACTTCTCTTCTCTCTGTGAAGACATTTCTTTATCACTAACATGTCACAGTCACAGGTTGACATCTCTGTTCTGATTAGTTGCCAACCTCAAGAGGGCGGGCCTTCAGAAACATGAGCCAGCCTGAGGGAGGACACAGGAGGAGGAGAGAGAGAAAGTAGAGGAAAACAAGTAGAGAGTGACGAACTGAATGAAAACCTGACTGATATTAAACAGGGTGAAATGTACACATCAAATGACTAGAATAAAAAAAAAAAGTACTAGCTATAATTTCCAAAGATTAAAGTCAGGCTAAGGATAAACATTTTTCTCTTTTATGAACATGTGATGTAAGATCGGCTGCCTCTCTGCTGCGTTGGTGCTGCTGCAGCTATATCTCTCTACATATAGAGGTGTGTACAGACTGTGCATTTAATTAGGATCTTGGTAGATTTTGAACAGAGCCCGGCTAGCTGTTTACACCTGCTTGCAGTATTTATGCTAAGCTAGGCTAACCACATACTGACTCCAGCTCTGTGCTGTTATTTTGAAGAACTAGAACTATTGCTACAGATCTTTCTGTTGCATCTTTGCACATCACAGAAAAATAATCAGGTGTAGAACGCATGCTAACGACATTATGCCCTGCACAAAAAAAAAAAAGAAAAAAGATTTGCCTTAATCAAAAACATCTGAATCTCTCTATGCTGCTTTAAAACCCCACTCTTACCACGACAGCACTGCCATTGGTATCATGCTCATGTAAGTATGCGATGGTCATACAAGTGTCTGATGGCAGTAAATATCGCTGATGATGGCGGTCACGCAATTGCAGCTTGCTTCAGCCTGTCGGGGATAATAAGCCTACTTGATACAGATGAGCTGTAATCAACAGCAGAATGAGCAGAATGAAGACAGACAAGTGGCTAACATGGGAAAAATCATTTGTTAAGCAACAATACAACATGATGAGCCAGCTCTATTCAAGCTAATGGGGGGATTGGAGCCCCTCCCAGCATGTGCCGGTCACCTCACCGTCACCATATATAACATAACAGAGGTTATTATTACAGTTTTACATAACACATCATAGTAAGTAGTACTACTACTACATAGTAGTAGTAGTAATAGAAAATGGTAGTACTGAGCTGAGATGTGTTTAACCAGTCCTGAGGTAAATATCTACCATGTGACAATACTGCCATTTAGGGAACCACTCCTGACTCAGCATCCTCCAGGGAACTTTTTATTTGTCTTTTACTAAATTATTATTATTATTAAGAATTAACAGACTGTTTCCTCATTTGTGTATTAGGGCTAGGGTTAGAAACTGTAAATTTTGTGTTTAGTTAATGTATTTGTTTATTATTATTATAAATGTTGAGTTCCATCCCCATCCTTCCAGTGACAGTAACCTGCTGAATGTAAACTGACCATGGTGAAAAAAGGATACGCAACATTTGCACATAAACTAAATCAAATGTAATTAGTGACATCTTTAAATCTCTGTCATGTTCATCAGCTGCAGGAAAAATACGCACAAGAAAAAAGTCTAAATTTGTTTTGCTGGGATCATTTCACAAGACACAAGCGACATCAGCAGTCAGTATTAATACACTGATATGTCAGCTGTTTTCTGTGACACTACGGAGGAAGTGTTACAGTGACAGTTTGGAGGTTCACAGGTCTGTAGCAAGTCTCTTACTGCGTGTCTGAGGCTCCAGGTTCAGTACTGAGTTCTGGAGGATCAAGATCTTTGGACTGGTCATTCTTCACAGACAGACAGGAGGATCCTGGAGACTCTGCTCTGTCCTCCTCGTCCTCCACCCAATCACTCATCTTCAGGACCTCAGTCAGTCTGACACACACACACACACACACACACACACACACACACACACACACACACACACACACACACACACACACACACACACAGAGTATACAGAGTATACAGTATAATAAACTCCACCTGGTCAGTTTTCATGTGTATTATTCAGCTCATCACAACGTTGAGTCAAACTGTTGATTCTGACTGAGAGAACAGGAAGTACCACACCTCATGTTGTTCCCTCTTTTCTCTCAGTGTCTTAGTGTGGACAGAAGTTCACTAAGACTCTTCTTCCCTCCACAGTTCACAGGGAGAAACTGACTCAGACACTTTGACAGTAAAATAATAATAATGTTGTGTTAACACTTACCTGCCTCACCCTTCAAGTTCCCTCTTCCTGCTCTGTCCAGGTAAAATGGAGTCTGAACTCTGATCTGACTGAACACCTTCAGTTTGAGTCCCCCCAACCCCAACCCTTGCTGCATTTACAGGAAATCACATGACTGGCCACCAATGGCTGTGGTGGAAAAGTCTAAATAATCTCCTCTCTAACTGCTTCTCATCGACCTCTGTGCAAAACGTCATGAGTGGAAAGAAAGATGTGAAGGGGAGTTCAATAAGAATCTGACTGCACTTACACTAGGATTGTTTTTAATAAACTAGACTAAACTTTAGCACATTACACGATGGGAGGATGGGGTTATTGAAAACAATATTCATGTAGTATTATGTTATGATGGTGATATTGTTAACTATAAAATCAATATGCTTGTTTTTCATGATGAATCCTCACTGATTTGAAAGAGAAGAAATATATATTTAGCTCAGTCAATCAGACAAGGATTTCCAGAAGTTTTAGATTGTGTCACAAACATAAAATAGATGCTCTGGGGTTAAACTACAAATATGTGACAAAGGTTGCTGCCGAAAGGAATTGTACTATGTTGAAGGAGATAAGATAGGAAGCACTGAAGCTCATTTCCTTATCATTTACGATAGGAATAAGAACCTCCCTAAGAAAAAAGTATGGTGGCCCTGAGAGCTCAATGCACTGCAGTTTAGGAAACACATGCACATACATGCAAACAAATTCAGAAAACATCTTCATCAACTTAACAACACATGAGCTGCAAATAGTAATTAGTGTTTCCAGTGGTGGTTCACCTGGTAGCAGAAATAAACATGTGTTACCAAAACAGTTTTGGTCTCTAGCTCACCCACCTGTCACTCAAAGAGGCCATTCCCTCAATTATGCATAACTTTAAGAGTTAATAAAATGTAAACAGGTAAGTTATATAATAACTAAATAATGAGAGAGAGAGAGAGAGAGAGAGAGAGAGAGAGGGAGAGAGAGATAAACTGGATTAATAAATATAATTTATTTTTTCATTTTAAAGTAACTCCGATCCACACTCCAGTAGGTGGCGGTAATACGCCTTAACGTTGGTTGCCACCCACCATTACAAAAAGAAGAAGTTCGTGGTAGTCGGGGCAGTAGCACTGTTTCCAACGGCAGTGAAAGCAGCATTACCATTGGCTGCATTACCATTGGCTGCGTGAGTTGTGTTTGGCCCGGCAAGGACATACAGGGCTGGAATGACATTTGTGTGAGTTAGCTAAGTAATGCTAACTAGCTTGTTACTAGCTTTAACCTACCCGTGATTGCCATACAAAACCTCTCCTGGAGGAGCACTGCATCTAGCCGGACTTCAGCGGGTTTTCCTCTGTAAAAGGTAACCTTACAGGGGACATTTGCCAAGCCGGTGGCTAGCTCACTATAGCTGGTAGAGAGTTAGCCTAGCAAGCTAGCAGTTATCATTGGCTGTCACGGTGGGCAGCCAGCGCTAGCTTAACAGCATGGAAGGTGGTGTCAACGTTTAAGGGACGATATGTCGACCCTATGTCCTGGCTATTTGTGGAGAAAATTGCCTCCTCAAAAATGTAACTGAATAGTGATCAATAGCCACTTAAAATGCAACTCTAATCACTGAATGACATTACATAAAGGATGAGGCTATAGTGAAAAATAGTGGCGCTAATCTCTCCTTGTTAGAGCAGTTTATTTAAAACTACAACAGTAAAGTGTTGTCTCTGTTCTGTCGCCAAATGGGGATTCTTGATTCTTACTGAAATAACCCGAAAGTGTTGTAATGCCTACAAATGACCAGCACTAGCTCATTAGCTGAGGATATTTGGTAATGATATCTGATGTATTTGTAGTACGTTGGATTAGGGCTGCGACTAACGCTATTCTGTATTGATCACTATAAACTTTATATTAAGTGAACTGTTCATAATTGTTTTTAAAATGTCAGAAACCACAGCTCACAAATGACCAAGTGAGGTCTTCGCGCAATTTTCTTCACTAAGTAGGTTTATACTGAAGATACAGCTCCTTTTCACTTGTGCACAAGTTGTAAGATTGCAGTCTGGTGAAACATTTACTTTGTAGTATGCTCATGTCTGGTAAAGTCAGCCTCTGTCACCATGCAGTCTCTGATTATAAACTTGTGGTCTGCTGCAGGTCATGTGCTCCTGGCATTGGCTCAGAAAACCTCAGTGGACCCAAGTCGGAGAAAAACCCATCAATGCTTTCAACTAGAATTTGCTTGACCTTTTTATTTCCTATACTGATACTTCAACATTAAGTATCTGCCAAAATGATATTGTTCCTGTCTTTAAAGCTGCACATAATTATTGTACATCAACAATGGATCAAATGACTATTTATAGTGTGAAAGATGTTGCTCATAGTGACCAACCACAGAGAATTATCACCCACTCTGCAGATCCCCTCAGCTCCACACAGCTTTTTTGGATCTGTCAGCTCTTGTTTCTCTTGGTTTCACAGCCCACAGCAAACCAGGTCTTGCAATAAAAAAAAAATACAAAAAACACAAAGAGCTGCATTGATTGTTGCGTCAACTACTGGTGAGACAATGAAATACAATCCAGGAAAGTTCAAGAGCAATGAGTTTACAAACACTGTGCAGCAATTAATTACAGTATGTGACCAAATATTACAGCTTTGAAAAGTTATCATAGTGTCATCATCATTTTATCTTCTGTCCCAATTAGGGCTGTAACTATGGATTATTTTCATTATCTATTAAAATACAATTTCTCAGACCCTAAAGTGATATGTTCAGAATGCTTGTTTTGACTGACCAACTTTTCAAATTCCAAAAGATATTCCGTTTACTTTCATGTAAGTCAAAGTAAAGCAGCATAAATGGCCAGTGTCCTGGTGGAAACTCTGGGGGTCTCACTGTCACTAGCTCTGCCCTCTCCTCTCTGTGGTCTTAGGTTTGTGGAGGTGGAAAACCTGCTGCTGTAGTTGGGAGTCGTCCACAGTCATAAGGTCCTAAGAACACGGTGTGTGTGTGTCTTTGCGGCGTCCTGTGTGTTGCGGGTGATGCCTAGCTTGTGACTGGGGTTGCCTCGGCCCCTGTGGTGAATGGCTGTGAGCAGAGGGGGCATCGCCTTCTGGGTGGGTTGTGTCCGCAGCCATGGCAGAAGGCAACCCATCACAAAACAGAGCTGGACTCTCAGCCAGGTAATCTGCTTGATCCCCTCTTTCATTTCACATTTGAATTGGTGAAGGTTTGACCATATTTGTGCGCTTGACCCTCTGGCATACTTTTATTTCTTCTTCACTGGTTCAGTCGGTCTTTCTCTACCTGCACTTTCATCATCAGTGCACATTTGCAAAACCACGGATGATGAGAGTGCAGGCAGAGGGAGACCGACTGAGCCAGTGAAGAAGAAAAAGGACCACTTTAAAGCGCTATGGCTGTGGTTGCGGGTCAACACAGTTCAGGTTGAAAAGGTTAAAGTTGTACGACAGTAAGAAACTCAAAACCTGCAGGGACCAATGCATCACCAAAAACTCTGATCCCCTCCCTTCTTCTTTTCAGCAGTTAGATTAGAATAATTGCTCAACTATTCATCAACATGCAAGTTTACTGATTAATACCATACCATGATAATTAATACCAGCTGAGACAGTTAGTAGCACCAGTGCTACCAGTGGAAAAGTTAGTCTGGAGCCCTGGATAAGATACAACTTACAGTATAATTCACACAGCTTTATAGTTGTTTGTATTTTAATTTAAAGGCTAGCAGTTTCCCCTTTCTTCCAGTCTTTGTGCTAAGCTAGCCTAACCATGTCCTGGACCTATCTCTGTACAGGATGCACAGACTGCCATTGTAGTGAAATGTCAGCATCAACAAAGTATCTGAGCAAATGTTGTTTATAAATGATTTTTAACATACAAGCCCTTATTGCCCTTTCAGGCCTTCGACTGGTTGTGGATCCGTCAGACACGGCCCCTGACCAGTGCATCATGGGCCCTGGCGCCCCCCAACAGCCTGAGGTATCAGAACATTAAGCAGCCGGTGCTGTCCCACCCGTTCCACAATGCCAGCCAGCCTCAGAGAGGGGGTTACTACGAAGAGGACTGGGAGGAGGCTCTCAGTGTGTGTGTGCTTGTGCGACCGGGCGAGTCGGACGGCCTCCACACCCTGCTGGAGATCCCTCTGTTTGGTCACAATAAACTAGGAGAGCTCCTCGCTCTGGGAGCTCACAAGTCCTCTGAGTTCTCCTTTTCCCTAACCACGGTGGATGGCAGCAGGGAGGATGACATCAGCATGGACAGCTTCAGGAGAAACGGTGTTGATGCTGTAGAGAGAGAACATGGCTGTTTCAGAAGCCTGTTTGAAGCGGAGAAGTGTCCTGCACCGTTCATGTACGGCTCTCAGTTTTATTGTTTTCATTGCCCGGGCACAGAGCCGGTACCTGGCAGTGGGCTGAAATCGAAGCAGGATATTGGACTTGACAACAAGCCTGTGGAGCTGCCTCTTCTGCATCCTACCACTCTGTGTAGCCTTACAGAGGAGGGGCATACTGAAGGAGACAGTGAAGGAGAGGAGAAACTGGCCACCATGTATGAAAGACTGAGGATAGAGGTAAGAATACACACTGTGTCTGATAACATGATCTACACAGGAGGCATAGTGTTAGCAGCAGCATCAGCGTCAGTGCTCTGTCTCTCACACAGAGTGCGTTCAGGCACAGTATGGAGTTGTAGGTCATCAGTGTTTTGGCAGTGCTCAGCACCAACATACGATCACTGCAGTGTCGCATGTAAAACATGAGTAAATAGATGTGAAGTATAAAAACACGCTTCAGGACTTTATTGTGAGCAAATAGCACAAGTGAGCGAGGTGTTCCGTGGCCTCTGGTGAGAGCTGTATTGATTTCAACAGAAGCGTGTGTGTTCTTTCAGACGTGTGTGAGATGGACTGGTGTAAAACACAGCTGCAGCTCTTTCTATGTAGACACACTGCATGAATTAAAGTTGCAGCGTCACTGGCTGTCACTGCTGGTCTGAAGTGGTGAGGTGGGGAAGTGAGGACTTCTAAACCCAAACATCCAGTAACATGAAACGTGTAAGTAACACATGTGTTTATGCCTCCGTCCCATTCTGCTGATGGCGATACCTCGGTAACACCTTCAGGGAACTTATTCAAATTTGTCATGGACTCAAGGATGAACTAATAAGATTTTGCTTGTGAAAGGTCAAGGTCACTGCGACCTCACAAAACATGTCTTTGGCCATATCTGAAGAATTCATACATTGATGATGATACAATTTAATTCAAATGTCTATAAATGTCTTTTATTTTCATTTTTACAATGAATGAATGTAAGTATATATTTTTACCCGACCAGGGACAGGTAGGAAGCTTGTTGATGAGGCAGCACAAAGCAAGTTGTTGGGATTTTGGTTGAAATTAGGTCTTATAATAAAGCTACTTGTTAGGAGCAAAGTCACTGCACTGAAATCTGCTGATTTCAAGAATCGGTAAGAACAAAATAAATAGTTGTAGCAAATATGCAACAATAACAGAGTAATGCCAAAGTTGCAGTGGTTATGTTTCGTTGTGAATATTAATGAACCATGTGAAATTTCACTGTGTTGGGTTAATAAGGGTCATTAAATCTGTGCATCATTGGATCCTGACCAACTTTTTAACTAAAGTGTTGTGAAGTATTTTTCTCTTTTTTCTTGCTGAGCTGTTGCCGTCATGCTCCTCTGTGATTGGCTGAGCTGTCTCAGAGCTATGACCCCAGTGATGTGACTGGCTGAGAATATATCACTCCTCACACCCTCTGATCCAACATCCAGTTTACCCAGCTCTTTTGAGTGTTGAGCAGATGCATGAACCAAAATGGCAGTGATATAACGACAATATTAGACTGGCACTGTTCCAAGGCTGGATCTTCATTTTTTACGGTAGCTACAAATGTCAGTGGGATTTTGAAGAAGGTTTCTTATTTCTGGAACGGAAGCCGGTTTTTGATTCAGCTCTTTATATATTTCATCCTTCCAGTGTTTCAAACTGACTATAAAACATCTATTACATCTATAACACATGTACTGTGAAACGTAGGCATGAGTGGCGCTCTCGCTGTGACGCTGCTGCTGGTCTGCTTTAACAGCTGAATGCCAGCTTCATAAAGATAGAATGTATTGTCGAGCTCTTGTGCCAGATTGCTCTCGACTGTTGTTGTACTTACTACACACTGAGTGAACTCATTTGTTTGTTTTTACAGCTTCCCAGTTTCTTTATAAAGAACCACGATTACACCATGTACTCGAGCGATATGGAATTCATCAATGGCCTCTTGAATACCAAGACCAGGTGAATCTGTTTGTTCAATTTGAGCTAATGGTGACGCATCATTACAGACACTGCTCTCCTCTGACTACATACTGTATCCAGGTTTCTCTGGTTGTGACTGTCGCTGTGTGTGTTGGTGTAGAGGCCGTGTGCTGTACCAGCTCACCCTCTCCCTGTGGCGCCTGCTGTGTCTTTGTTACTACGCCGAGGCTCGGCTGGAGGTGCTGAAGCTCACCAAGCACATGGAGGACGGGACCATTAAGGCTCGCTGGAGGATTAGAGGCCTTCCCGTCCACTCTCTGCTGCTGCGCTTCTATCGCAAAGACAAGACTCACCTTTACAGGTAACGCACAGAACAAGAGACCGAAGGTGGTGCTGTCACCAACTCTTACTAGGTTTAGTCTGTCTGTAATTCACTATTTTCAAAGCCTTTGCTTAAATAAAATATGCATCATACAGAATGTTTGACTTCAGGTGTTTAAGTCTTTACAATCTTACTTATCCAAATGTCATCTGTTGTAGGTCATATGATGCATTCTCTACTTTTTACATCGGGCAAGATGGACTCATTCATTGTCATAAAGTTGAAAAGGTAAGCAGCTTACTCCCATGAAGTACCTGCTGACATGAACAAGTGACTGCAGTGGATTTTTTCTTTTTTCTTTGAGTGTTTCTGAAAGAGAGAACGAGAAATCCCCAGTAGCAGGATGGAAAAGGAGTTAAGCTTTACTCTTGTTGTTCTTTAAAACTGATGGAATGAAGATGAAGTGAATGTTGAAGTCATCAGTCATCTGACCTTCGTCACTGTCGCTGGCTGAAATGTTATGCAGCCTTGTTGGAACATGGTGGCCATCCACCAACCATCCACCTGGACCATCCAGGGTTGCACGGCACTCATCAGTAAACAAGACTGTTTGAAAATTTGTCTTCATGTATTTCTGAGCCCACTGCAACCGTTTCTGCTTGTGAGTGTTGTTTGGGGGTGGCCGAATAGCAGGTTTAAGCACAACTCTGGAGGATCCTACACCTTGAGGTTCGCGGGACTCCAGAGGCACCAGTGGCTTCAAATACCTGTTTGCTGCTTTGTAATGGCATTTTAGCAGCTGCTCTCCTAATCCGATGAATTTGTCTGGCAGAAACCTTCCTCATTGTGCATTTATCTGCACGAACCCGTCTGTGCTCTGAATCAGCCACAAATCTCTTTACAGTACGATGATCACACTTAAGTTTTCGTGATATATCTAATGTTTTCATACCTTCTACAAGGTATTGCACTATTGGACGCTTCGGCAGCAGAGATCCTTTTTCTTTCCCATATTGCTTGAAACCTGTGGCCTGCTTAATAATGTGGAACGTCCTTCTTAAGTAGTTTTCCTTTGATTGGGCTCACCTGGCAAACTAATTATCACAGATGTCTGAGATTGATTTCAATGATCCAAAGAGCCCTGAGACACAATACCATCCATGAGTTTAATTGAAAGACAAGAAATTAAATGTTTATGACACTTAAATCCAATTTGCATAGTAATTTGGAACGCGGTATATACTATAGGTGTAGACCCAGTCTTGTTCATTTTAACTTGTATGTATTCAGTATTTATTAAACAGCTGACCGCGGCAGAGGAGGATTCCTGTGTGTTTTCGTTTTGTTAATCTGTTTATAAATTACAGTCTGACTACGATTTGCTACTTGTTTTAATAAGTTGTTTGATATTTTTCTACATGGGAGAGGCTCACATGGCGTAGGGCTGCAAAATATGCTAAATTATTATTGTTATTATTTTTGCAGCTATCGCAATTTCAGTTGGTATGGTCATTTTTTTCCATTTCATTTTCACCGAAAAAATGTGTAGGTCGGGCCGTCTCTGTAGCACCAAGCACAACGCTTATGGTGCTAACAATGCAAAACAATGTCGGGAAACATTTTACCTTTGTCAAAAAAATAGCAGCTCCTGCAATTTGGATATTGCACTTGGCCATATTGTGATTTCCATTATACACTGCTCAAAAAAACTATTAAATCACACATCGGATCTTGATGAGGGAATTATTCAAGTTGAAAATCTTTACTGATGTTCATTCTATAGATGTTCATTGAATAGAGAACAAAATGACGAAAATCAAAGTAACAAATTGAAATCACAGAATTTCTTCACAGCATCTCATAATGTGACTCAGTAGTGTGTAAGACCCCCACATGCCTGTATACACTCCTGACAACGTGTGGGCGTGCTCCTGATGAGTCGGTGGGTGGTGTCCTGGGGGATCTCCTCCCAGACCTGGATCAGGACATCACTGAGCTCCTGGACAGTCTGTGGCATCAATGCCTTCATCATCCAGGAACTGCCCACACACTCTGGACACATGAGGCCGGGCGTTGTCCTGCACAAGGAGGAACCCAGGGCCCACTGCACCAGCGTCAGGTCTGACAATCGCTCTGAGGATTTCATCCCAGTACCTAACAGCAGTCAGGGTACCGTTGGCTGTGACATGGAGGTCTGTGCGACCCTCCAAGGATATGTCTCCCCAGACCATCACTGACCCACCGCCAAACTGCTCATGCTGGATGATGTTACAGGCAGCATAACATTCACCACGGCGTCTCCAGACTCTTTCACGCCTGTCACATGTGCTCAGTGTGAACCTGCTCTCATCTGTGAAGAGAATGGGGTGCCAGTGGCAGACCTGCCAATTCTGGTGTTCTCTGGCTAATGCCAGTCGAACTGCAGGGTGTTGGGCTGTGAGCACAGCTCCCACTAGAGGATGTGGGGCATCATGCCACATGTGTCTGTTTCTGACAGTGTGGTCAGAAACATGCACACCAGTAGCCTGCTGGAGGTCATGTTGTAGGGTTCTGGCAGTGCTCCTGTTCCTCCTCACAAGGGAGCAGGTACTGGTCCTGCTGCTGGGTTGATACCCTTCTACAGCCCTGTCCAGCTCTCCTCATGTAATGGCCGGTCTCCTGGTATCTCCTCTATGCTCTTGAGACTGTGCTGGGAGACACAGCACGTATGGCTGTGCCATCAGTGCAGTATATTTCAATTAAATGCGCAGCCCCTTATATGGCTTTTATACACAGTGCACTGGGCGCTGGAGGATTCATGTGTCTTATCATTTTGTTAATCTGTTTATACATTAGAAAGTCTGGGTAAGTTGATATTGTCTTACACAGGAGAGGCTAACATGATGGTTATACACAGCGCACTCTGTGCCCGAAGAGTCAGTGTTTGGTTTACAGACTCTCAGCTTCCTGTTTGACTGTCCTCTGTCTCTGTGTTACAGGTGATGCCCGCTCAGCCCCCTGTCCTTCCCGGAGTAACCTCCCTCCTGGCGGGGGCTCTGGTGGCTCTGGGGGTGCAGGAGCATCGACCTGCTCTCAACCTGCTGCCCCTCCTCCTGTCCTCGCTTCGACAGAGCAGAAACTGACCCCAGGATGACCATTAGAGGAATAACGGCCGATGGAATCAACAGAGTGTCCAAGGTCCATGTGACTCTGAAAAGCTTTGTTCATTTTCAACATAGGAACGTTAACATGGAAGGTTTGTTTTTTTTTAATTCTAAAGTCTCGTGTAGTTGCCTCTGAATTAAAACACAAAGTCAAGACCTTCCACTGCTTTTCCTTTATCTAAATGTAGTTTTAGCTGTTGTTGGTTAACTTGAACACAGGCTCCGGGTGTCACAGGGCTGTCATCTCTGCCAGTCAGCTGGTGTAATAACAGACCACCTGGTTTTTCCAACTTTCCCACAAAAATGAAAAAAATCTGAACATGAGACGAAATAATTTCTAAATAGAATGTGAAACTCTGTTTTTCTGTTTTTAAGCTGATTATTAAACTGATCAACTCTGCAGATCAGAACACTGTGATCAGACTCCACGTGACGGAACATGAGTAACTTTGTAGCGCAGCGCTAACCTCTGCCGTAGCATCACACATCTCACATGGTGCAGCCATGTGAAGCTTGCTGCACAGCCTGCAGCTGCCAGTGAAGTCACTTCACTCTTCCTCCTCTATAAGGAGTAGTTCAACATTTTGGCAAATAAGATGAGAAGGTGGATGTCGATTCTATATCTGTGTGTTCAAGGGAAATGACCGTACTTTTCAACCTGGGTCCTATTGTCATAACGGTGTCTACTCTCATGCTAACTTTACCCTGGTTGTAGAGAGTCAGGACATAAATCTACAAAGTTTCAAACTTCAGCTCAAGATAAATAGGGCTGGGTGATGACACTGATTTCCCAATTTGATTTGATTTGATTCGATATGAATATGAACAACAGCAGTTCTGCTTGGATATGAATGCTGTAAATTGTTCCTTTAACCTGGTGCATTATTAGAAATATTAATGTTTACATTAGGAATGAACACAAAGCAGTTACATTAATGCAGTTTAGACACACCTCAAGAAATGTAAGTAATGTGTGTTGCTAACGCAGTGCACCGGCAACATAGTGTATGAACAATTATATATGGCGGCTTCTATCGGCTTCTTTTTGCACATCTTGCATAAGGCCAGGAACGCACTGGCTGCGTGGCGGCTGCGGAACATCTTGGCTTTTCATTTTGGCACTCACGTTAACGGGTTAGTGTTTGTGTGCACAATAAACTAACGAGCTACAACATGCTAATCATTCTGTGAACAGATCCAGGCTAGGTCTGTTCCCTGCTGCTAGTCTTTGCGCTAAGCCAGGCTAACCGCGTCCTGGCTCCAGCTACGTACAGTACGTGACATGCAGGCTTCAGATTGATATCCATCTTTTTATGAACTATTTTTCAGTATCACAGTGGCTTCATGTGGAGGAGTGATTTTCAACCTGAGCTTGGTCCCAGGACACCTGGGACTGATGAAGTCAGTCCCAGGGGGTTTCTGACTTCATCATTAACATCAATATCTACTTTGTGATGTATTCTTTGTGTCATGCAGTGTTTTGAGAATCAGCTCATTTTCAGTTCCTAGCTGTGGGTTCTGCCTGGGTCTGGGTCTGGGTCCGGGTCCAAGCACATGTATGGTATAGTTGAATAAAATAAGACTCGCTGTGATCTGGGCCTCTCAACACTCAATCATGACTTGAACTTTAACTCGATGGGGAGATTTTCTGGTGGGAAGTGTTGTTGACGTGATCCTGCTGATCAAAGAGGTTATTTTGGTGAAGTGAAGTGAAGTGAAGCCTATTTGTGTAAATCACAGGTGATGTGCGTGATGGCAGCCTTGTGTCTTTGCTGGAACCTCTGGTTCACTACATTTCACTAAATACGCTCAGAGAGGGAGACACACTGATAACACTTAGATTATAGATGTTCAAATCAGACTTTGTCACACACACACACACACTGACACTGTACAGATCATATGCTATTAAATCACTAACGCACCAGAAAAAAAGAACAATTGGTAAATACAGGTACCTAAATAATAATAAAAGGTTGCAGACTTAAGATTTTTACCTGTTCCACTTCCTCCTGGCTGCAGCCCACTGCCTCCCTGATCTATGTCTTAGTAATGTTGAAGCAATGAATCTTTCCTGGAAGGTATTCATGGTGCTGCCCTCATTTGTTCACATGAAAAGTGACAGAAGTGTGGCCACACTCGGGCTTCGTCCACACTACTACGTTTGAGTTTTAAAACTAGTCTCTTTTCCTACATTTACTCCGGAGTTTTCCATCTCCTAAAACAGAGACTTTCAGAAACTCTGTCGGCCCCATTTTATTTTGAAAACTCTGGGGTTGTGTTTTATTTTGAAAATTCTGAGTTTGTGTTGTATCTGCACGGACAGAAACTGAGACCTTTGGAAACAGTGACGTCACACCCACAGTCTCTCCTGATTGGCTCTCATCAGCCTGGACTAGCAGTGGTGAATACTGAATACTGTGGTGAATGATAGTGAATTACATTGTTACTGACCGTGTTGTCTTTGCTAGCAGCTGCTGTTCACTTACATTCTCTATTTTAATGCTACAACTGTCCTCTGAGCAGCTACATCTCCACGGCAGATTGGAGGCTACAGTGAGTCGCTATCAGAAAGCGACGAGATGGGCCTGGGCTAGCTGGTTAGCATGCTAACTTCAGTAGAAGAAAAGATGTGATAGAGACAAGAGTTAACATTGGTGTTTGTATCCACCTCTGGGGACAGCTGTTGAAAGGAATAGAAATGAATGAAGTTTGATGCTGAACTCACAACATTTCTTCCAGACTGGTAAGTAAACAGCTGCTAATGCTAACATTAGCTATGTAGCAGTAGCAAAACTTACATAAACATACTCAGGTGTTCTGTCACAGCCCAGGTGCAGTACCATAGAATGCTTCTTTGAGGGGAGGAAGTTGTCAACCGTTGATCCCTGTTTCCTGTTCGTGTTTCCTGCTTGGCCCTCTTACAGGGATTTTTCTTACACAGGCCTATGAAATCCTACCAACCTTTCTCTCCCGCCTTCGCAATGGTCGATCTGTGTCCTGTCAATGTTTGCGAAGCTGTGACGTTCATATAAAGAGCCTCTAACAAATCATCCAGAATACAAAAAAAGTTGAAAATACTGGGTTGCCCTTGTTTGTTGTTGAAAACCCATAGGTTCCTAAGGGATGATCATTGCTTTAAAAAAAAAAAAAAATATAGGAAAAAATATATATATAGATAATATTATCTTATATATATTATATTATAATATATTAAATTGATATATATATATATTTAATAGAATTGATTGAAAATAAAGGCTCAGATAGTTTCTTGCTTTACTGTAAGTTTGTTGACAACCGTCTCGG